CGGGCGGCACGCTGACCTGCGAGCTGCAGGACTGCCCCTTCTGCGCCAGCCTGCTGGAGGATCCCGAGTTCGCCTTCAGCGAGTCCGACAGCTGCGACTCCGACAGCAACGGCGTGTACGAGTTCACCCAGGACCTGCGGCACGGTGACCGCAGGGACCAGCTCCAGCAGCAGAGGGGCAGGAGGAGGAGGAAGAAGAAAAAACCCAAGGAGAGGAACAAGGTGACCCGCCTGTGGAAGGCTTTCGGCAGCAAGCTGAAGAGGATCGTGGAGAGCAAGTACTTCAACCGGGGCATTATGATCGCCATTCTCATCAACACGCTGAGCATGGGCATCGAGTACCATGAGCAGGTGAGCGCGGGACTGGCCTGAGGAGCCCCGAGGGTCTGGGGTTTCAGGTGCCGGTGTCATGGGCTCGCTCTGTGGAAGCGGTTTTCACGCAAGTTGGAAACACCAGCGGGGTCGAGGTCCTGGTCCCGCTGACGTGCGTCCTTCTGGGTGCAAAAATCCTGGGAGGTGGCTGGTCAGCGCTGTGGAGAGTTTAAATGTGTGCGTTAGGATGGTGGCTCAGAGCCTGGCTGCTCTTCAGTTGTTTGCTCTGAGTTATTCATATGAACGTGAATGGTTCTGGGGGAAATACCCCTTTGATCTGATGGTGGTGGTGTCCAGTGGACCTTGCAGTGCGAATAACCCACGCAGAAGTTCCTTCTTTGATCCTGGACCTTTAAAGAAAGACTTAAACTGTCAGGCAATACTAAAAGCAACGAAGAAAACAACAAAAAAAAGAAGTTAAATTCTCCCTGAAGGCTCCAAAACCTTTAATTTGATCTCATAGGTTGGAAGTAGGTCTTTCTTTTAAGTTTTTGGAGGGAAGAAGGAGAAGTCATGCTGTTCTCAGGATTAGTCTGAACCATGGTGGTGGCAGAAGGCAATGGTGGCAGCTGGGGACAGCTTGCCCTTGTTGTTGGCTGACGGGAGCTCGAGGGGCTGTGTGGTGGGAGAGGGAGGTGAGCAGCCCCAGTTGGTCACTGGGGAAAGCTGTGCTTCTCTGGGCTTTTCTTTCTCAAAAGAAATTGTTACTTTCAACTGTTTTCTCAAGAAATTCTCTCTATTTTCTCATGTTGCCTCTGTATCTGGTGCTGAAAATGCATCCTGGTGAGGCCGGCAGAGCCTCACACTGATCTCCTGTGAGGTGGATAGTCAAAGGTTCAGTCTACTGCAGGACCAGGATCAGGTAAAGGTTATTTGTAAAACTGTTCCTCCTCTCTGCCTTGGTCTATCTGCTCAGGAGTGAGGAGGAAAGGCAGACAGGAGTAGGCAGGACAAAACGAGCATTTTCTTCTCCGTTCTTCTCCTCCATTTCCCAGGATTAAGTCCTGCTTGGGACCGTGGCGAACAATTCTCTAGAGTGCTGCTACCTTATTTTCTCTCCACGTGTGTGTTTTAAACCCTCATATTCTATGCTATCTGCGACGTATTTTCTTTCGGAAAAGCAAGTACGTAGCTAAAAGATGTGAACTCCAGCCATGAAACAGTAAGTTGGTTCACACTTACAGCAGAGAGCGTCCAAACCCAACAAAGAAATAGCTGTCGCTGTCAGCTTTCTGCCAGATTAGTTGTTCCACAGCAAGTTTTAAAATCAGGAAATACACCTTGTCAGTAGCCTGTGAGTAGACCATTCATTCCTCACAGCAGCTGCATTTCTGCATGGATACTCTTTTGTCAGGCAGATACAGCTTTGTCAGTCCTTGGATATTGCCGTGATGGGTGCTGGGGGAAAACCTTAGGCAGGCTGCCGTGAGAAATCCCAGGGATCACATGGAATCTGTCTACACTCACTTGTATAAAGGTAAATCGTGATAATTACATCCTTGCTGCTAACAAAGGAAAACTGCAGCCAGCAGGTTTATGTTGGATTTTACCTTGTAAAAGATTTGCTTTAAACCATCTCAAAGCCAACGGCAATAAAGATTCTGAAGCTTTTGGCTACGGAGCATCAGACCCCCGCCAACTTCGCTCTCAGGCTCTGCCCAGCATGGGCCCAATAAAAAGGGAGGAATTTTGAAGTGAAACCTGTAAAAGTTCCTCCACGTGCCTGACTGCAAAATGTCTCTGGTACGCAGCGGGGATAACAAGCTGTCGGAGCCCAGCTTCCAAACACCTGGCCCAGGCACTCTCCTGTCAACAGAGCGACCTCCAGGGCATCGCCAGAGGCGGAGACACTATGCCATAGCGACAGAAAATGGCTCTAGGCTCCCAGGTTGTTTGGTGTGGAAGACTGGGGCTTCTGTGAGCAAGGCAAGATGATTTCAGAATCTGCAGCTCTCCTCGCGTGAGAGTCAGCTGCAAGACTCGGGGTGGGGAAGCCGGCTTTGTGTGAAGATGAGGAGATGCCTGAGCGAAGCTGTTAAAACCCCACAGGGTGGTGTCGAGACAGAGGGGAGGTCAGAATGTCTCATTTTGCGTGTGCCATGATCCTTGCCAGGAAAAGTATTTAATCGGACCTTTCTATTTACTAAATGACAAACGCTGCCCAGTCACCTCTGCTCAGCGCAGGTATTACAAGGTGAGAAGGTGTGAGCCTTCCCCTGGCACCGGTGTTGCCATCATCTCCTCCTCTATCCTCCCAAGGGCAAATCTGGAGGACGTTCCCCGAGTCACCAGGATTTAGGAGCTGCCTACAAGGATATAGCTACTGTGTGGCTCTCCTCTGCTTTCCCCCTTATAAAAAAAAAAATAAAATAATGGCTGCTTCCACTGATGACTACGAAGCCCGAGAAGCTTTCAGCTTCTCGGACTTCGTAGTCATCAGTTCCAGCTTCTCAGACTTTGTAAAGGCTTTGCAAAGAGATGGGCACACGCACGTTTTATTTCATCTCTGTGTGTGTGGGAGGGGTGGAGGGTATTGATCAACGTCTGTGGAAGGTAGAGCAGCCCTAATCCTTGGTGTTGTCTCGCCTTTCATCCCGGGACACGGCAGCGCTCTGCAGAGAAGTCGCACGGAGCCCTCTTGAGGCAATCGAGCATTATTGTTGCCATCTTCTGGGTGAGGAAATCGAGATTGCAAGGTGCCAGGCTGGGTGGGCTTTGCTGCTGGCCCTTAGCACAGCCACAGGGCAAGAGGACGTGCGTGTGGCTTCGGCAGCGCCCTTGGGCAAGAAGGGAAGGTGGGCTGTGTCTCATCTGTGTCTATACTGCCATGGTCTCTCCAGACAACGGAGAGAGACCTATCCCCATCCAAATCCCCTCAAGGCTTTCATAGATGTTTTTAGGGGAATTTGAAGCTTGCAGTCTGCTCACACAGTTACCCCGGCTGCTCTTGGCTAACGCAGCAGGCATCGCACCACCCTATTTAATGCACATAGCCCATGTAATACCCTTTTAGGCAAGGATCCTGTCGTGTGGCTCAGGGCACGGCCACTGTAGCAGCTAGCTGCTTCGTAGGAATGATGAGATGCTAGAACTGCTTTGCATGGAGCTATCCCGGAGCAATCCTGCTCCTTTCAGGGTCAGACTAAATGTTTCGTGGCAGCACAGCCAGTGTGTGGCAGGAGGTCTGGGTAGCAGGAGGCAGCTGGTGATGGGGAGGGAGTTTCTTTGGGGCTCCAGCCTTCAGCAGCAGTCAGATTCCCCACATGGGGTACCCACAGGGTTAACAGCCAGCTCTGTCTCAACGGCTGGTAATTAGGAGGTTACAGGATGCTGTTAGGTAGCAGAAGCACAACTTGTATTTCAAAGGTTAATTGGCTGGTTTGGAGTTTCTTTTATTTATTATTTTTCCTCCCTTTGTACTTTGTTTATTTATTTATTTGCCTCTCTCCCAACACGAACAAGCGCTCCCACAGATGGGGAAAGCCAAGTATAAAGGAGGAGGAGGTGATCCTTGCATTAATCTTCCAGGTGATTTCAATACATTGGATGATTTTACTACACATTCACTGCAGCTGACAACTCTCCAGAGGATCATGAGAACGTGCCACGGCACTGCAGCAGCCCAGCAGGAGCAGTGTGCTCTGGAAACGTGACCTCTGCCGTGCCTTTGGGGCAGTGGGGAGAGATGCCTGGCGCAGGCAGGCCCTGTTCCAGGAGCTGTGTTGCCAAGTTGTTCTCTGCCACTGAAAGCTGATACCTTTTTGTCCCAGAGTCAGCTCCTGTGTGTGGTTTGCCGACTGGTCTGAAGGCATAATTGCTGCTCCTTTAGTCTGCCTTGGTTCCCAGCTCCCCGATTGTCCAGTGGAAGGACAGTCCTGTCTAAGAGAGATGTTGGTATTATCTCTGCGGAAGGGTGAGCTCCATTTCATCCACGACGACCTCTGATTTAAGTTGTGAGGAGAGACCCCCACTTGGCTTCCCAGAGGAATTTGCAGAAGTAGCTGTTGATACTTGTAATGATTCCACATAAAAGGCTCAATTTACATCAAATGGCACTAGAAATGCTATTTTGCATTCACTTCTCACAAGAGAAGTACAAATTAGTATTTGTTCCAAGCTATTGCTGTTCAAAGAGCTTTTAATTGCTTTTCTGATCCCTCATCCATGGCATGTTTCGTTCAGAGCAGCTGCCTTTGGGATAGGCTGGAGCTGACCTTGATGGGCACACAGTGACCCATTGCTTATCAGTGTAAGAGAAGTATTGGTTTTGGAGTTGCACATTTTATTATTCTGGAGCAAAAGTAATTTTGTGTCATTTAACGTAGCAAGTAGCTTGTCTAGTGACGTCATATTTTAGCATTTGTCAGTTCTGGCTTAAAAAATTGGTTTGGACTGGAAACCTCAGAAAGTAGAAGAGAATCTTCCAGCAGTGTTTGAAGCAAATTGCTTAAATTCCTTCTGGGTCGTGAGTCAATGAAATCCTGATCCGAGACTCTCGCTTGCAGCCGGCAAAACTTGTTCACTCTTCAAACTTTTTACACGATTTGGTTTTAAGGACTTAGATACTGGCCAGACTTGAAGCAAACAGATTCCCCCAGCCCAGCCCAGGATGTGAAAATTCAACAAACAGCTCGTGATAACCCAAATTCTGTCTCCACCTCTTGGCTTTGGTGACCTTGGGGAAGAGAGAGTTTGTTCCCAAGAATCGTACCGGATCTTCAGTGCTCTCCTGACCGCCTTTATCCAGGCCCCCTTTTCTGCAGACAGCGACTCTGTCAGGGCATTAACTAACTCGGTAACAGTTTTGGGATCCCCTCTGCACAATTCAGGCTCCGAGGCTTCTGTTCAGAGCCAGCAGCAGCTCGTAGGTGGAGCATTTGCACCCGGCAAGGTGTCATACCCATGTTAGGGAGTTAAAGATCAGAGGCAAGATAGCATGAGCTGGGAGCAAATGTTTGCAGCCAGGTGCCCCGGCTCAG